AACTACAGCATAGCGATTTTATTAGTGTGAATTTTTACTTGAGTATTTTGTTATCTCTTATCACAGTCCAGATTTCATATGAAGTACATATGGGGCCCTGGAGTCCCCAAAGAACAGAAATAGGTAAAAAGTGTGAAGAACCGTCAAAGTGTTAAATTTCCAAACGAGACGCGCTGCAAGAGGGCGATACGAATTTACATTGTTATCATTTTCAATAGAAAAACACTGACTTTCCAGGGGCACGTCAATCACGTTGTATATAGGGAATAAAACCAATCCATCCCTCTGCCCTTTAAAGTTTAAACTTTAAGAAACCTCAACGCATATAATAAACTCCAAAAAGTGCAGGGTTATAGACAAAAACCGACTATTCTCGTTTGTTTTAGCACACAGAGTACATACATGCTCGTTCTGCAGCGTTAGCTGATAAATAATTACTAAATATATTATTCATGCAAAACTTTGAAACCACCAGCTATTTTTTCATAAATAGTGTATTTTTCGCAGTGTTATCAAGTATACGTGTAGCCAAATGAATGTTTGCATGCTTTTATGTTTGATTTAAATAATGTTATAATAAATTTTTAATAAAAATTTTCAACTATTTTTGGAAATATATTTATATGGAAATGCAGAATTACCGAATCACTATGCAAATATTTCCATAAATAGTTGATAGAAGACGATTGAAAACGTTGATTAAATAATGAAATAATTACACGAAGAATATTTAATTCACTTTTTGTTCATCATCTGAATTAATTTTTTACATAACGAAAGAACAAAACTAAAATAGAATACAAATTTTCTTCATTTCCAATTGAAAATCTTTTGTTTTTTGAATTAGTTCTTTATGAAAAAATCATTCTCCAGAGTTTTTTTTACAGGTTTCTTACAAATTCATTTAAATTACATGATTTTTCATGGGTAAATTACATGAAGTAATTAAAATACGTAACTTTAATGTAAGATACACGATCAAGTTTCTTACGTACCAACCCAATTAATAACACTGCAGATTAAAACCACAGTACTAATAAAAATATATGTGCATAAAAACAGAATTGTTTAAAATCTAGATTTTATTTCATTTCTGAAAATAGGCGTAATTACTTTATTTTGAATAATAAATATGGAAATGAATTAATTTTTAGTCCTAAAAAGACTTGAAAATTTTTAAGACAAAAAAAAACACCAGAACAATAGTCCAGAATACTCGACCGTAAACATAAAATACAAACCAATTTTTTTTTCCCCATTGCAATTTACCCATTCCCATTGATATCGAAGCATCGATCAGAACTGGTCAACATTTAACAAAAACATGCTAATAAGATTGGCAATTTTTTCGGGTGTTTGCAGGTGTAAATAATGCGATCCAGCCACCTCATGGTATTCAACGTCAACGTTGTTCCTTAAAACATTGAGTACTTGCTGGTAAACTTCTGGTCGATCGAATTTATAGCCAGGAGTTGCTCTGATGTTCAACACTGGGCATTGAATTAATGCGGCATAGGTGAGAATGTGTTCCAATGTGAACAGTCCCAGGCCACTGTATCTTAACCTTGGATCAGCTGCAACTGTGTATTTTTGTTCACCGCTACATGCTGAAACTGGATTTAAACCACGCTTCAATAAAATTTTCACCGATTCACGATCAATTGAACCTTCTTCGAGTCTTCGTTCGATCACTTCTTCGTATGTCCATTGATGTTGTTTGGATGTTGAATCGAGATTTATGGTTCTATCAATAAAAGATCCAGTAATAGCAGCATTGATGCGTTGATTCCGAATAATGGGTCCATACGAATCAAGAAGAATAATTTGTTCAACATCTTTTGCATAGCATGCCGCATACATAAAACACACACTCGCGCCCATTGAATGACCAATCATTTTCAGTTTTTGCCAACCAAAGTGCTTGACAATACGACGAACAACCGAAATATAGTCCCAGTACAGATGGTAATTCATTCCAGTCTGCAAATGGAGAAAGATAAAAACAAATCAATTCATAACTGGTGACAAAATAGCCAGCGAACAATCACTGAATAATCAATATATGAAAATAACATATTTTCTGATTTATTCTTCAACTAATGAATATTTTGAACACATTTGTTCGATAAAAATTTCATAAATTCTTTATAACATCTCACCGGAAAGTGATCAGATTGGCCGTGTCCAGGTAAATCGATGCTGAAAACAGGAATTTTCTCTGGTAGCAATGGTATTAAACGATCGAATGTTCCGGCATTATCAAGCCATCCATGAAATGCTAGAATCGGTTGCTCATTTCGATTTCCATACCATTTTCC